GGTGTTTTGTAATGATTACTAAAAATGACAAAAATATTCCACAAAATTAGAGAATTAAAGATAACATCACGAAATAATCTGAGAGAGGACCACATGTAGTAGCTATATGTGTAATATTAAAGCAATCAGATTTGCAGTTTGTAACAAGACGAAAAAATCTCTTTTTACCAGAAATGACAGAAATATTCATCTAAATTAGAGAATTGAAGATTTCATCACGAAATGAACAAATCTGAGAGATGTCTACCCAAGATACATATACACCAAGTATCAAAGCAATAAGAAATGTAGTTTTCAAGAAGAAGTCGAAATAGTAAAAAGTTGACTTGGACGACAAACAATCACTCGTATGATAAGAAGCTAAAAAGCGTGAAATGAGGAAACAAAACAATCAGAAACACCAAGCAGGATTCATATCATCTGAATGTGGTGATTGAATTGCTTGAAACAAATGAGGAATGTTCTTATAACAAACTTAATCTGTGTTTTTATCGTAATTAGCAGTATTAAACCGTGGATCTTTGTCTAATTTCAATCTGCTAATCCCTCACCATTGGCAAATTAATTCAAATGCTCATTTTAAAAACATTCACAGAAAAGTAGAATAAAAATCAGAAAACAAGTCCTGTCTAGTTAAATTATAAACATTGTAATCTTTTAAAACTTTATTATATCACTGTACAATGTACGACTAACACAATAGTATTTTTCTCAGAAAACAATGTAGTATTAGCCCCATTGCTAAACTATTTCCCCTCAGCAGAGGCCTAGAAACATATGCACAACATTCAAATCTAAGTTTTACTGACCACGATTAAAACCCTGCAAATCAAACAGCATGAATACTACTCAAAACAAACTATCACACTCAGTTTTGTCTGCAGTGAATAGCAAAGAACAGCTTAATAATGCCTTAGACTGTCAAACAGACAAGCGCACTGGACACTTCGAGATTGAAAACTGATTTTGTAACTCAGCAGGTAATATGCACCAGAATTATAGAAATATGAATAATTTCACATGTAAACAATAAACAGCAAAGCAATTAACTACATTACATGTGTATACTGTTGTCATTTAAAGTGACATCATCAGTTGTATGGGATTAATGACTGTCTCCAGGTTCTGCTATCACTAGCACATATGTTGATGATTTAAAGCATATCTTGTCAACACCATTTGTCAACTTTTTTAAAGCCTATCATCAGACATGTCTAATGGGTAAACAAGTAAAACAAGTTTATGTGCATGTCAATGGCCAGAAGTCCACAAAAGAAAGAATGACTCCTAGGTCTTCACGAATTGCTGACTGTGGGGAGTGATACCAATAGAAATGCATTATAGCATGCTTGGTGAAACAACTGACTGTCAAAACAGGTGTGCATGCTGACACCGAGGTCTTCACGAATTGCTGACTGTGGGGAGTGATATCAATAGAAATGCATTATAGCATGCTTGGTGAAACAACTGACTGTCAAAACAGGTGTGCATGCTGACACCGATGTCTTCACGAATTGCTGACTGTGGGGAGTGATACCAATAGAAATACATTATAGCATGCTTGGTGAAACAACTGACTGTCAAAACAGGTGTGCATGTTGACACCTAGGCCTCCAGAACTGCTGACTGTGGGGAGTGATATGCCTGGTGAAACTGACTATACTTTCACAAGTAAATGTTATTCTTAATAGCAGCCAAATGTGAAAGGTGAAGATACAAAAAAATGTAAACGAGCCACTTGTTTCTGCACAGTGATATTCATCTATGTTAGTTATCTCATTACTCAAGTTGCATAACTCACTAACATATTACAGACAATAATTTATAATTTACAACTTCTTAGGGCTGTGATGTCATGAGGTACCTTTCTTGATAAGATCAACACAGCTGTTATGCATTGTCCAATTATTAATGCCAATAATCAGTTTCCTCATAGACTTATTTTAAATCAACTTAATGTACAGAAGCATGTAAGCAGCTGTGATGAATCATGATCTTTGGATTTGTCAAAATAACTCTATACTGTATATTGGCTCCTAGTAGACCTAACATTTCATTTACTGTAAAATACTTTATTTTCGCTTGGAATGGAATTAATTTTCGCTGAAGGAATGATTCAGTGAAAATAAAATCTAGCGAATATATCTTTTTTCTTATATTGTACATTCAATTTGTCAAAAATCAGTGAAAATACATTCCATACAAAATACCCAAAATGTCTTTCCAGCGAAAATATATTCCAGCTAAAATAAAGTATTTACAGTATTCACAAAATGAGAAACTGATTTTAAACATGTTGAAGTTTTAATAAAAATAGTGACATGTTTCCAACAATTACATTCGTAATCTGTTATACACAGAATAAAAATAAAAGAATTATGACTTCCCAGGCACTTCCTTCATCTGTCTAAAAACACACATGAAAACAGACATAAATTTTATGCAGATGTTTGAGTGAGTCATATCAGTGGTAGAAGGGTTCACACTTAAACTACAGATGGATATGACCACCATATTAATAATTTTATGATATATAATATTAGTATTTTTTCTTAAATAAGAATGGTTCACACTATAACTACTTAAAACTCAGGCATTGTTAGAAAAATGTTACACTAAGTAATTCAAATATTTTATTCGAATGATGTTGTCTCCCCTATCTTGAATGTAGCGCCCTCTATGTCAAGTGAAAGAAACAAGTCAGCTTGGAACAATCCTATAGGTCAAGGGTCAGACGTTTGACCTTAGCAATTCAAAGCAATATTGTTTTGCGCATCATCTATGTATGAAGGTATAATTAAATAAACAGAGAGTTTCTGAGTCATCTGACGTCCTGTCAAAAGGATCACAGCTAAATATTAAATGGAAGAACATTTATTATGAAAATTTATTTTCTTAAATTAATTATAGTAATTAACCAACTATAAATTGCACGTGCAAACAAACAAATATTACAACCTGATACACAATATTCAAACTCATCTACATTTTGTACATACATTGTACAGACATTAATTTCCTTTTTTTCAATTTATTGATTATTTCATCAGTTTTATTCACAATCCAATTATATCTAATGTAACTAAATGTAGACTAGACAGTTGTGTTTTCTCGGGCCACAATGTTTTTTGTTTTTTCAAATCCTGTCAAATAGTTATCAAATCTAAAAGAAATATACTATAAACAGATCAACACCATGTTCTGATAACATAATACCCAACAGTAAATGTTATCTTTGTTTCTGTTTCTGCCATGTGTTATATATAAGCCATGCCACATGTTTTGTTGCTACTCTAAATCCATACAGGTTTCCCTACAGGGACCATACTT